ACTTTAATACCCAAAAAATATTTCAAATCGCCTAAGTCTTTGATACGGAAGCGGGTGTGTAGAAAACTTTTTGAGAGAATTAATGGCATCAATATCATTTCCTGTAATCAGAATAAGTATAACATGATAGATATAGTGTGATGGCTGATGGAACTGCTCATTGTTCGCGTGTTGCAGATGACTGATAGGGTTTTCTTGAGGTTGTCCCTCCCCCAAGAAAGTTTAGTGCATTTATGTATACAATAAAATATTTAGTAAATGATGTTTTCTTTTAGTAGAGCACTTCATTTGGCTTGAAAAAAAACTTCAGTTTGGCAGTAGCCTCTTGATTTTGCAGTCATTTTATAAATAAATAAATATACTACTGGGTTTAGCTGTGTTGCATCTATAGATGAATTTTAGAGTCTTCATTGATGGACATGGATTACAGCTTGAGTGGTAACTGTTGAGCTTTCCAAACACCAAAATAGAAAGCCAATTTCCAACCCCCATGTCTACTTATTTTTACTGATTGAGCACAGAAACAATTACTAATTGAAGAGAAGAAGATAAGTTACTGTCAACTTTATCAAACCGTTGTTATTAGCTTCATATAGAATACATAGAAAGAAAAACAAATTATGTTCGAAAACAATTATACAAATGCATGGAGAATAGAATTCCTTATTTCCTTGTTTCACGTAAATTTCTTCAAGTCCTGCTAAAACAGAACTGGCCACCCTGAAGTGAAGTCCTGAGTCTAAACTAACCAATACTAGGGACCCTTGTAACAATGCCATCAGTATCGACCCAAACACGAACCCTATCGCACCGGAAATCAGCAGTGACAAACGACCCTTCTGGCACGATCTCAGCATCAACTGAAGGATTCTCCCTCTCAATTTTTGCCTCTGCAACTGTACCCTGAGCTCCCAGAAGTTCAGGCCATCTATTCTTACCTGCATATATATGAACAAAATAATAAAATCTTACAGTCTATAAACTAAAGACACCATAACAAGTAATTTAGCTTATATTAGTGGCATCTGTAATCGTACAGAAGAACTTGTTACAGATACTAAATCTTCTTCACTCAAGTTAGCCGTTGATGATTTCTTTTCGAGACATGGATTAAGCATCTCTAGATTGCGAGGGCAGGGTTATGATGGCGCAAGTAATATGAGAGGTGAGTTTAGTGGTCTTAAAACACTCATGCTAAATGAGAATGACTCTGCTTTTTATGTTCATTGTTTTGCTCATCAACTTCAGCTAGCTCTGGTAGCTGTGGCAAAGAAACATTCAGAAATTGCAGATTTATTTACTATGGTTTCTAATGTGGTGAATGTTGTGGGTGCATCTGCTAAGCGCCGTGATATGCTGAGAGAAAAGCATGCTGATGCAATTTTTGAAGCACTCAATAATAATGAGCTCTTAAGTGGACAAGGCCTGAATCAAGAAACTAATCTTAAGCGGTCTAGTGATACACGATGGAGCTCTCATTATAATTGTTTAATCAGTTTGAAAAACATGTTCCCATCTGTGATAGATGTGCTTAAGATTGTAAGAACAGATGGATCAGGTTACGAACAAAAATTTGAAGCAAAGGTTCTATTGACTTTTATGCAATCATTCAGCTTCATTTTTGGTCTACACTTGATGAAAAGAATTTTGGGAATCACAAACAACTTGTCTCAGGCATTACAAAAGAAAGATCAAGATATTGTGAATGCCATGGACTTGGTCAAAATATGTAAAGGAAGATTGCAAAGCATGAGAGATAATGGTTGGGATTCTTTACTTGATCAAGTTTCTTTCTTTTGTGGCAAGTATCATATTGAAATTCCTAAAATGGATGATATTTTTTCTAGTGGAGGGAGACCAAAACGTAAAGCTCAACCCATCACAAACTTACATCATTATCGTGTTGATTTATTCGTTGATGTTATTGATATTCAGCTCCGAGAGTTAAATGATCGGTTCAATGAGAAGAATACTGAATTACTTCTTTGTATGGCATGCTTGAGTCCAAGTAATTCATTCTCTGCTTTTGATAAAGCAAAGTTGATGCGACTTGCCCAATTTATCCTAGTGATTTTTCTGAGTATGACCTCAAATTACTTGAAGAACAACTTGAGAATTACATTTGGGACGTGAGCTCTAACGATGAATTTACAGAATTGAAAGGGATTACTGATCTTGCGCAAAAGATGGTTGAGACAAAAAAAGATCAGATCTACCCTTTAGTGTACTTGCTTTTGACACTGGCACTAATCCTACCTGTTGCGACCGCAAGTGTAGAGCGAGTATTTTCTGCTATGAATATTGTGAAGAATCGGTTATCCAATCGAATGGGGGATTTGTGGATGAATGATTGCTTGGTTGCATATATTGAGAACGACATTTTTAATAGTATAGATGACGAGGTTGTTATGGAACGATTTCAAAATATGAAAACTCGTCGAGGACAATTATGATTATAATGAATAGACAATATGATTTTTGATGTTTTGATGTCTTGTGAATTCGAAGTTTTTATTGTTTATATTTTGTGAAAGGCCCCCAGACACATGAAATCCTGGCTTCGCCACTGCTCGACACTCAAATGACATCCTTGCTTTCTATCTTAATATGCAAACTTTTCCTCTCTGAATAATAATCTCTCTATGTTTCTTAGCAATATTTTTCTTGTGAGGTATTGGCATCAGGAAGAGATGTATATTTATAGTCAAACATTGGAGAGATAGCTTGTGGCTGGTCATTATTGACTATTTCGATTGGATGCTTCATCGCCAAGAGATTAACTATCTGGCTAGTATATGAACTTAAACATGTACGAACAATATATGAAATCTGGTTGTACGATTCATCACATCACCTACTTAGATGATAAGTGCTGTTGACAAAACCTGAAATACATGTAAAATAAAATTGGAAAAAGGAGGAATAGCGCTCATGTGATTTAAATAAGAATTCGTGTTTGACTGGTAAATGTAATCAACTTGAACATTATTTGAAAAAAAAAAATGTTGGGAGTTAAGAAAAAGTCATCATTTCAAATTTCGCATCTTGGTTTGGTTGATTGAACAATTTTGCTTGCTTTATAGAACAATCTAGGGTTAACTGCAAAAGTCAAACATTTTCTCCATATCTTAATTTTTCTTCTTTTGTTTCAGTTTTCAAGCAGAACAATTATATTGGACTAGTTTAAGGTCTGGCATGAGCACGAGAAGGGCTTTTGCTGCGGCTAATGTCATGCTGGAGCTAGCTAGGCACAAAACTGTTTAACTCATCAAATTGGACCCATTGGTTTGAAACATTTAATTCCCTCTTCAAATAATCAATTTTCAGCAACTTATTTTTATAGCAGGATCAGTGCACTAGCTTTAAATTGATGAAACAGTAACATTAGCTTTTAGAATTGTTATTTAATTATTCATAGTGTTATTTCAGTGCTTCACTGGTTTTAGTTTCAAACACAGCCAGCCCCAAGTGCAATTCTGTCTTGAGACTCAAGGCTAATCAAATCGTCACTTCTGTTTTGCCCCCAGAATTTTTCAGTCAAGACTTGGATTTGTGGGTTCTCAGCAAGTAATCTCAAGAGCAGGTCTTTTCTCTGTTTGAACCACAATTATTTGCCATGGGGGTGAGACTCAACCACACTTTTGTGTCTGGTGTCCTCATCGGGTCATGCAGGCGCCTATTTCATGTACTCTAGTTTACTTGGGTGGTGAAACCTGTTAAAATATCAAATTTTTATTGTAATTTTCCCCTGAAAAATTGGCTTAAGGGTGCTCAAGAATCAATGCCATTGGCCAATGTGAGACATTTGGAGGCATGAAATTTGGCTTGCAGTACAGAGAATCAATCCCCTTGGCTTTTGTTACAATTATTACTAGCTAGCCTTTGTAAAGAGATTTATTTATCGCCATTTTCAATGTTTTGAAGAGTAAAAGCTGTTGTACATTGAGCTTTACCTTTACTGCGGTTGAACAGAAAGAAGAAGAAAGGAGAAAAAGAAAACTACTGTCAACTTTATCAAACCACTCTTATATGTATTGAGCTTCACACGGAATACATTGAGATAACAAAAATAAATTGACTGCATCCAACACAAATAATGCAAGGAGTATATTACAACTCCTTATTTGCGTAACATATTAATAATAATATAATTAACCAATTACAGGAACCAAACCATCTGTGTCGACCCAAACACGAACCCTATATCTAGGTATGCATACGAAATCTGGGAGGACAATGGTTCCTTCCACCACCACCTCAATGTCGACCGAAGATTTCTCCGTCTCAATTGTCGCCCCCCCACACAAAAAAAACTCCCAACAGATCAGGAAATACATACTTACCTGCATATGCATTACATGAATTAATTTAGAACTAAAAAAATAATTGTATTAATTACATGTATATATATTAAATGACATGACCGTGAATATTATAAAAGGATTGTTATAAGAAGTATAACATGATAGATAGTGTGATGGCCAATGGAACTGATCATCGTTTGCGCGTTGCAGATGACTCATAGGGTTTTCGTGAGGTTGTCCCTCCCCAAAGAAAGTTTAGTCCATAACAATACAATATTTGGTAAATGATGTTTTCTTTTAGTAGAGCACTTCGTTTGGCTGGAAAAAAATAAGTTTCAGTTTGGCAGTAGCCTCTTGATTTTGCAATCATTTTATCTTCTTTTTGTTTCCCAACTGGGTTTAGCTGTATTGCATCTATAGATGAATTTTAGAGGCTTCGTTGATGGACATGGATTAAAGATTGAGTGGTAACTGTGGAGCTTTCCAAACACCAAAATAGAAAGCCAATTTCCAACCCATGCCTATTTATTATTTTACTAGTTGAGCAGAAACAATTACTAATTGAAGAGAAGAAGATAAGTTACTGTCGACTTTATCAAACCGTTCTTATAGAATACATATATAGAAAGAAAAACAAATTATGTTCGAAAACAATTATACAAATTCATGGAGAATAGAACTCCTTATTTTATTATTTCACGTAAATTTCTTCAAACCACCCTGATGTGAAGTCCTTGGAGTCTAAATTAACCAATTATAGGGACCCTTGTAACAATGCCATCAGTATTAACCCAAACGCGAACCCTATCGCACCGGAAATCAGCAGTGACAATCGTCCCTTCTAGCACGATCTGAGCGTCAACCAAAGAATTCTCGCTCTCAATTGTTGCCTCTGCATCTGTCCCCTGAGCTCCCAGAAGTTCAGGCCATGTATCCTTACCTGCATATATATGAACTCAAAAATTCAAACTTGCAGTATATTAACTAAAGACACCATGCATCTGTAATCGTACAGAAGAACTTGTTCATTACCTTGACACTCAGATGACATCCTTGCTTTGTGTTTTAATATGCAAACTTTTCCTCTCTGAATAAGATCTCTCTTTCTTTGCAATATTTTGTTTGTGAGGTATTCGCATCAGGAAGAGATGTATATTTAAAGTCAAACATTGGTGTTAGACGATGTAATCCTAGCTGTAGCTGTATTCCTAACTTGTAGGGATAAAAGTCTTGTAGAGCAAGGAATGTAATTGTATATATATTTCTCATTCACATATTAATAAAATATTCTTACCCAATATATTTTTCTACATGGTATCAGAGCAGGGTCTCAAAACCCTAGCTTCCCCTTATTTTGTTTTCGGCTGACTCCTCCTGCCGTTTTTATTTCATCATGGGATACTCAGATTCCAGTCCTTTTTCCCCTCACCATTCTGATCATCCTAACCTTGTTCTTGTCTCCACCAAATTAAATGGAGACAATTATACCACCTGGGCACGCGGCATGGAGATCTCTTTGAGCGCCAAGAACAAACTTGGCTTTATTCATGGTACCATTGGGGAACCGTCCTCCTCCACGGACCCTGATAAACACGCTGCCTGGCGCCGCTGCAACGATATGATTCTTTCTTGGCTTCTCCATTCTTTGGAGCCTGACCTTGCCGAGTCCGTCCTTTTTTCCACCACTGCCAAAGCTGTTTGGGACGACCTCCGTGAACGGTTTTCCCAAAGCAACGCTCCTCGCATCTTTCAACTCAACCGTGCAATTGCCACCATCTCCCAAGGGACTTCTTCTGTTTCTGCCTATTTCACTCGTCTCAAAGGCCTTTGGGACGAACTTGCCTCGTACAACGAACCCTGCACTTGTTCTTCAGGCACCAAGAACGACAGAAAGCAGCTTATGCAGTTTCTCATGGGGCTTAACGAGTCTTTTTCTGCCGTTCGTGATCAAATCCTCTTGATGAGCCCCCTGCCCACCGTTCGCCATGCCTGTTCCTCCGTGTCTCAGGCCGAGAAGCAACGTTCGATGGGTTCTCCCCGTTCCGTCGACCAATCTGCTGCAGCCATGGCGGTCCGTGGATCGTCCCGTGCTTCCTCCGACCGTCCTCCTCTTCACTGCACCTATTGCAACTACGATTTTCACACCCGTGACAATTGCCACAAGCTTCATGGTTACCCTGTTGGTCATCCTCTCCATGGCCAGCCGTGGAGGCCACCCCGTCGCTCTACCTCTGCTGGTTCTTCACGCAACAATGGTGCTGGTTCTTCACGCAGCAATGGTGCTGCCCCTTCTGCCCGTAACCTCCCATGCTGCTCATCCTTGGCCCACTACCAGCCCTCCTTCAGGTCACCACGTGCAAGGGCAGCCCCACGCTGCATGATGTCCAGATTGCTATGCCCCATCTCTCAGCCGACCAACACTCCCGAGTTCTTGCTGCCCTCAGTGACGGTGCCCAGCCTCCTTCCTCTCCTCAGGCTCATGCTGTTTTTGGTGAGGATTTTACCAAAGGTTTGTTTTCCCGTAGCTTCTCGTCTTGGTCAATGGATCCTTGACAGTGGCGCTACGGATCATATTACCTCTTCCGCCTCGTGTTTGGTTAATACTTCTGCTTCGCATTTGCCACCTGTTTCTTTGCCCAGTGGTGCTACCGCCCCTATTACTTCCACTGGCACTCTTCATTTAAATTCCTCTGTTTTTTTGAAGGATGTTTTATGCGTCCCTACTTTTAAAGTGGACCTTTTATCGGTTGGTAAGCTTACAGATGGATTATCGTGTTCCGTAACATTCTTTCCCTCTTGGTGTGTTTTGCAGGACTTGGTTTCGAAGGCGACGATTGGTGTGGGTAAGCGACGTGGTGACCTATATTATCTTGTGGCTCTTGCCTCCTCCATCCCATCCAGTCACCCCCTCTGCAATGTCATCACCATCCCGTCTTCCCTGTGGCATAGGCGCCTTGGTCATCCTTCCCTCCTCGTTTGCAAGCTTTAGCTTCTAGTTTTTTACATTGTTCTTTTGATTCTAGTCATGTGTGTGATGTTTGTCCTTTGGCAAAACAAACTCGTCAACCTTTGGTTTAAGTTCAATTTCAACAACCTTTCCTTTTGCTTTAATTCATTGTGATATTTGGGGCCCGAATCGTCAAACTTCCCTTTCTGGAGCTCATTATTTTTTAACCATTGTGGATGATTTTTCTCGTTTTACATGGGTTTTCCTCATGAAACATAAATCTGATACTCAACAATTACTCAAGGATTTTTTTGCTTATGTCAGTACCCAATTCCATGCTAAAATTCGTTGCATTCGCACTGACAATGGCGGCGAATTTCTTTCTCTTCGTCCATTTTTTTTCAGATCATGGGGTTTTACTTCAAACTTCTTGTGTCTATACCCCTCAACAAAATGGCGTTGTTGAACGCAAACATAGACACCTCTTAGAAACCGCACGTGCACTTCGCTTCCAGTCCAATCTTCCCCTCAAATTTTGGGGTGAATGTATCCTTACCGCTGCTTATTTAATAAATCGTCTTCCCACCCGTCTTCTCCATAATCACACACCGTTTGCAGTCCTTCATAACAAAGTCCCCACCTATGATCACTTCCGTGTTTTTGGTTGTTTAGCCTATGCCACCTCTGTCCCTTCCACCCACTAATTTTCCCCTAGGGCTCACCGTTGCATCTTCCTTGGTTACCCTCCCGGCCAAAAGGCCTACAAACTATATGACCTAGACACTCACCGCCTCTTCACAAGTCGGGACGTAATCTTCCATGAAGATTCCTTCCCTTTTACTCTTCCCCCCCACCTCTACCCCATCCCCCACGCCTCCCTTGCCTCTCCCTTCCTCTCTGGACTTTCCTTATCCCCCATCCCCTGTCCCTACACCACAACCCCTTACTGCCCCTCTTGCCGACCCATCCACCTCTCCCTCCACGGCTCCTCCTCCTCCTCCTCCTCTTAATGACACCTTCCCTGACCACTCTGCTCCCTCTCCCGATATCCCATCTAGTTCACCCCCGGACCCCAACCCCTCCTCGCTCCCACCTCCTTCTCAACCTTTCCCCGCCCCCCGCATTTCTTCCCGCACCCGTACATCCCCATCCTATTTAAAGGACTACGTTTGCTCGCAGGTGATTCTGCCGCCACACCAATCCTCGACTTCGCGGCCCAGTTCTCCACCTGGTACGCGTTATCCACTCTGTAATTTTATTTCTTATCACCGTTACTCACCCAACCATCTTTCATATACATATTCTGTCAGTCGGCATGTGGAGCCCTCCTCCTTTGCCGAGGCTGCCAGTGATCCTAATTGGCGTCGTGCCATGCATGAGGAGCTTCAGGCATTACATGCCAATGGTACTTGGACTCTGACTACCCTGCCCCCTGGCAAAGCTCCCATTGATTGTAAATGGGTGTACAAATTGAAGTAAAATTCTGATGGTTCTATTGAGCGTTACAAAGCTCGCTTGGTTGCTAAAGGTTACACACATGCTGCAGGTATTGATTATCATGACACTTTTTCCCCTACTGCTAAGATGATTACTGTGCGTTGTCTTCTTGCTCTTGCTGCTAGTCAGTCTTGGTCTCTTCATCATCTCGATGTTAATAATGCCTTTTTGCACGGTGATTTACATGAGGAAATTTATATGTCTCCTCCTCCTGGTCTTCGGCGACAGGGGGAGAATCTTGTGTGTCGCCTTCATAAATCTCTATATGGTCTCAAGCAGGCTTCTCGCCAATGGTTTGCTAAATTCACTACTGCCATTCTTTCCGCTGAATTCCAACAATCAAAAGCTGACTATTCATTGTTCACCAGAAAGTCCGGTACTTCTTTCACAACCTTACTCATTTATGTGGACGATATTGTGATTACAGGGAATGACGTCAGGGCCATTGATTCTCTGAAGTCTTTTCTTCTCCGTGACCACTTTCGGATAAAAGACCTTGGGGAACTAAAATATTTTTTGGGTATCGAGGTTTCTCGCTCTCAACTTGGAATTTATATTTCACAGCGAAAGTATGCATTGGAGATTCTCAAGGATTATGGTTTTCTGGGTGCACGGCCCATTGCTTTTCCCATGGATGACACAAAATTATCTGATCGAGGAGAACTTCTCAAGGATCCTGAAAAGTATCGGCGCTTAGTAGGACGGTTGATTTATCTCACCATAACTCGGCCAGATATCACATATTCCGTGCATGTTTTGAGTCGGTTTATGCATGAGCCCCGTGTTCCTCATATGGATGTTGCGCTTCGTGTTGTTCGTTATTTGAAATCAACTCCAGGTCAAGGCTTATTATTTCGTTCTGACAACCAGACTAAGTTAGCTGCATTTTGCGACTCTGACTGGGCCGGTTGTCCTATCACTCGTCGTTCGACTACTGGGTATTGTGTATTCTTGGGAAATTCTCTGATTTCGTGGCGAACAAAGCGACAGAAAACTGTGTCGCTTTCTTCAGCTGAGGCAGAATATAGGGCAATGGCAGGTGCTTGTTGTGAGTTAGTTTGGCTTCGTTTTTTGTTGAAGGATTTGAATATTCCTTTGGAAGGTCCTTCTGTTTTATTTTGTGATAATCAAGCTGCATTGCATATAGCCGCGAATCCTGTTTTTCATGAAAGAACTCGTCACATTGAGATGGATTGTCATTTTATACGCGATAAGATTGCAGATGGAACCGTAGCGACAGATTATGTGCGTACGACACACCAGTTGGCAGATTTGTTCACTAAGCCCCTTGGGAAGGACAAGTTTTCAACTTTGATACGCAAGTTGGGTGTTCTTGACATTCACTCTCCAACTTGAGGGGGAGTGTTAGACGATGTAATCCTAGCTGTAGCTGTATTCCTAACTTGTAGGGATAAAAGTCTTGTAGAGCAAGGAATGTAATTGTATATATATTTCTCATTCACATATTAATAAAATATTCTTACCCAATATATTTTTCTACAATTGGAGAGATAGCTTGTGGCTGGTCATTATTGACTATTTCGATTGGATGCTTCATCGCCAAGATTAACTATCTCGCTAGTATGAACTTAAATTTTTGTTGTTATAAAGATGAAGAACTAGTACTTGGTCAAATAACAGCAATAAAGTCAGTTTTATTGACGGTAATGAAATCTGGTTGTACGATTCATCACATCACCTACTTAGATGATAAGTGCTGTTGACAAAACCTGAAATACACGTAAAATAAAATTAGAAAAATAAGGAGGAATAACGCCCATGTAATAAACTTGAACATTGTTTGAAAAAAAATGTTGGGAGCTAAGAAAAACTCATCATTTCAAATTTCGCATCTTGGTTTGGTTGATTGAACAATTTTGCTTGCTTTATTGATTGAGCAATCTAGGGTTGACTGCAAAAGTCAAACATTCCTCCAGAACCACAAGAATCCTTAGTTAGAATGAGATTCCAACTCAGCGCATTTCCTTTTGAGATTTTGAGAAGAGTTGCTCCGTATCTTAATTTTTCTTCTTTGTTTCAGTTTTCAAACAGAACAATTATATTGGACTAGTTTAAGGTCTGGCATGAGCAGGGGAAGGGCTTTTCATCACTTCTGTTTTGCCCCCATATTTTTTCAGTCTAAGAATTGGATCTGTGAGCTCTAAGTTAGTAATCTTTGTTAGTGTATAAATTAGTGAACTGATTGGTAGTTTGTTTTGTGGGTTGGGCCTCAGCTCATAGGCTGAGTTAGAAATATTGTATCAGGTTGGTTAAGTCTCATAGGGCTTGGCAATGGACAAGTGTCCTAATCTAAGGGTATGTAATGGATGGTTGAGATTGAGTTTAGAATTGTGTCTATCTCTCTCTCTCCTCCAACGGTTTTGTACTCTGTGCGTGAGTGAGCTGATATACAGAAAAAAACAGAGAGCTCAAGATACAACAAAAATATAGAAGCAAATTCTCTAATCATTTTCTGTGATTCTCTTCATACCTGCTAGATTTCCTTTCTCTAACATGGCCTCAGAGCCAGGTTCGATCTAATCTTTCTGGGCGTTGTGACTGTGAGGTTTTGGGCTCGATTCTGTAAGCAAAAGCTCATTGCGTGATTCTTGAGCTCAAATCAGTATTCTAGACTAACATGTCTGGATCTGGAGGAGGAGAACTCAGAGCGCCAATCTTCAATGACGAAAACTTCGATTTCTGGCAAATCAAGATGAAAACCATCTTTCGATCACACGAGCTATGGGAGATGGTTGAGAATGGGTATAAGATTCCGGTGAAGGAGGAGGCACTCACGGAGGCGGAGAAGAAGCTATTGCGTGAGTATGCTGTGAAAGATGCCAGAGCATTAGGCATTATTCAAGGAGCTGTGTCCGATCAGATTTTTCCAAGGATTGCAACTCAGGAAGTGCAAAAGCTGCGTGGGACATTTTAAAACAAGAATTTGTGGGTGACAAACAGGTAAGATCTGTGAAACTCCAGGGCCTTCGTAGAGATTTTGGTCATTGAAACTACAAAAGGCAAACGGTACATAAAAGAAGTCATGTTGGTACCTGGCCTTGCAGAAAACTTGCTCAGTGTGGGACAAATGACGGATCATGGCTATTTTCTCTTGTTCGGAGATTGCAAGGCGGACATATTTGATGATAGAACTTTACAACATTTGGTAGTAAGTGTAAGGCAGAAAGGAAACAGGTGTTTTCCACTAGTTTTCAATACAAACAAAGAGTTTGCTTTGAAAACCAGTGTGCATGAGTGTTCCAAGCTGTGGCACAAGAGGTTTGGGCACTTAAACTTCAAAAGTCTCAAGCTGTTACAGACACAAGAACTTGTACTGGGGCTGCCTGAAATCCAAGTGCATGATGCAGTTTGTCATGGATGTGCAATGGGGAAGAATCATAGAGAGGCATTTCCACAAGAATCGAAATGGAGAGCAAAGGAGCCACTAGGTTTGATCCATTCGGATATATGTGGTCCTATGCAAACACCAAGTTTGGGAGGAAATAGATACTTTATCACATTCATTGATGACTACTCAAGAATGTGCTGGGTATATTTCTTGAGAAACAAATCAGATGCATTTCATGTGTTTAAGAAATTTAAAGTGATGGTGGAATTGCAATGTGGATATCATGTAAAGAGGTTGCGAACAGATAGGGGAGGAGAGTTCAACTCACATGAGTTTGTGCAGTTTTGTGAAGATTTGTGAATAGAGAGGCAGCTTACCATTTCATATTCTCCTCAACAGAACGGCGTGGCAGAGAGGAAGAACAGAACCATCATGGAAATGGCAAAATGCATGATTCATGAGAAAGAGCTGCCATACAATCTGTGGTGTGAAGCAGTGAACACAGCAGTATATCTGTTAAATCGAAGTCCAACAAAGGCTTTAGAATCCTCTACACCTTTTGAGAGGTTTAGTGGAAGAAAGCCAGGTATTAAACATTTAAAGGTGTTTGGCTCAATGTGTTATCCCTTAGTTCCAGGAGCTGTGAGACACAAGCTGGAAGCAACAAGTGTCATGGGTGTCCTTATTGGCTACGGCATCTGTGAGAAGGGATATAGGATATTGAATCCTATAACTGAGAAAGTGATACTCTCTAGAGATGTGATCTTTGATGAACATGGCAAGTGGGATTGGGAGAAGCACAAAGTTAAGGAAATCTGTATTCCTTTATCTGCAAACAGATATACAAACATGGATAGAACTACTGATGAGTTGGAAAATCAAGATCAAGTGACCTCTGATGATACTCAAGTTGAAAGTGAGATTCCCTTAGCTACTGAGGGTGGAGAATCAAGTAGTCATCCTCAGTATGATGATACTCCATTGAGATATAGAAATTTAAGTGAAATTTATTAAAGGTGCCATGTATGCATTATTGAGCCTGAGTGCTTTGATGAGGCTGCAAAGGATGAGGCATGGAGAAAGGCAATGGAAAATGAGATAAGCATGATAGAAAAGAATCAGACATGGGAGTTGGTGAACAGACCATTTGATAAACTTGTGATTGGGGTAAAATGGGTATACAAGACAAAATTGAATCTAGATGGGTCAATTCAGAAGAACAAGGCCAGATTAGTTGCAAAAGGTTATGCACAAAAGCCGGGGATTGATTATAATGAGACCTTTGCACCTGTGGCCAGATTAGACACCATAAGGACTCTCATTGCATTGGCTGCAAAGAACAACTGGAAGCTGTATCAGTTGGATGTAAAATCTGCGTTTTTGAATGGGGTACTTGAAGAAGAAGTTTACATAGCGCAGCCAGATGGATTTCTAGTGAAGGGTAAGGAGGATAAAGTGTACAAACTACACAAGGCTTTGTATGGATTGAAGCAGGCACCTAGGGCCTGGTATGGAGAGATTGATTCCTACCTTGTGCAGTGTGGTTTCAAAAGGAGTACCAGCGAGGCAACTCTATATGTGAAGTGTAAGGGAAACTCAGAGCTGGTCATCATATCTATATATGTTGATGATATAGTTTATACTGGAAATTCTCAAGAGTTATTACAGGAGTTTAAGACTGATATGATGCACAAGTATGAAATGACAGATTTGGGTTTACTACACCATTTTCTAGGAATGGGGGTTATGCAAACTGAAGATTCATCTTCATACATCAAAGAAAATACTGTTGAAGAGGTTTGGGCTTCAGGACTGTAAACCTGTGAGCATTCCCCTGGTACCACATGATAAACTGAGGAAGGATGATGATAGTGGAGCTGCAGATGAAGCTCAATACAGGAAAATTGTGGGAAGCTTGCTGTATCTCACAGCAACAAGGCCTGACATAATGTATGCTGCATGTTTGTTGGCAAGGTTTATGCATTGTCCCACAAACAAGCATTATGGGACAGCAAAGAGAGTTCTAAGATATATCCAAGGGACTCTTGATTTTGGTTTGGAGTACAAGAAAGGAGAAGGTTCAGTTTTGGTGGGCTTTTGTGATAGTGACTGGTCTGGATCAGAAGAGGATATGAAGAGTACATCTGGATATGCCTTTACATTTGGCAGTGGAATTTTCTCTTGGGCATCTGTGAAGCAACAATGTGTTGCTTTATCTACAGCTGAGGCAGAATATGTGAGTGCTTCAGAGGCAACAACACAAGCCACTTGGTTAAGGTTTGTGTTGGAAGATTTTGGTGAAATGCAGACTGCTGCAACACCGATGAACTGTGACAATACCTCAGCCATTGCTATCACTAAGAACCCTATATTCCATCAGAAAACCAAGCATATAAATCGGAAGTATCACTACATCAAGGAAGCATTGCAGCAAGGAGTGATCGATATAGTTTACTGTCCTACAGAAAAGCAAGCAGCTGATATCTTCACCAAAGCCCTGGCAAGAGAGCAGTTCACTTATCTTAGAGAGCTTCTTGGTGTGAAATCAGTCCACAATTTAAAGGGAAGTGTTAGTGTATAAATTAGTGAATTGATTGGTAGTTTGTTTTGTGGGTTGGGCCTCAGCTCATAGGCTGAGTTAGAAATATTGTATCAGGTTGGTTAAGTCTCATAGGGCTTGGCAATGGACAAGTGTCCTAATCTAAGGGTATGTAATGGATGGTTGAGATTGAGTTTAGAATTGTGTCTATCTCTCTCTCTCCTCCAACGGTTTTGTACTGTGTGCGTGAATGAGCTGATATACAGAAAAAAACAGAGAGCTCAAGATACAACAAAAATATAGAAGCAAATTCTCTAATCATTTTCTGTGATTCTCTTCATACCTGCTAGATTTCCTTTCTCTAACAATCTTAAGAGCAGGTCTTTTCTCTATTTAAACCACAATTATTTGCCATTTCTCTAATAGGGATGAGACTCAAATGGATAGAACATATTTCTGTTGGAGAGGTGGTCAACATTATCAACCACACTTCTGTGTCCGGTGTCCTCATCGGGTCATGCAGACGCCTTTTTCATGTACTATAGTTTACTTGGGTGGTGAAACCTGTTAAAATATCAATTTTAGTAATTTCCCCTTGCAAAATTGGTTTAAGGGTGCTCAAGAACTCACATTCTTTTAAAGTATTCTGTTTTCCATTGTGTGAGACATTTGGAGGCATGAAAATTGGCTTGCTGCACAGAGAATCTTTCTCGTTGGCTTGGAATTCAAGTCGACCAATCATCGGTAGTTGATGATGATTTTTTTGAGGTAGAGTTTGAATGCATTTGCTAATTAAGGCTTTCAGATTACAATTATTACTAGCTAGCCCTTGTTAAGAGATTTATTTATCACCATTTTCAATGTTTTGAAGTGTTGTATATTGAGCTTCACACAGAATACATTGAGATAACAAAAAAAAAATTGGCTGCTTCCAACACAAATAATGCATGGAGTATATTACCACTCCTTATTTGCATAACATATTAATAATTAAGTTAACCAATTACAGGAACCCTAGTAACCAAGCCATCTGTGTCGACCCAAACACGAACCCTGTCAGGTACGCATACGAAATCTGCAGGGACAATGGTTCCTTCCAACACCACCTCAACTTTGACGGTAGAATTCTCCCTCTCAATTGTTGCCTCCGCAACTGTCCCCTCCACTCCCAGCAGCTCAGGCCATACATACTTACCTATTTAGAACAAAAAAATAATTGTATTAATTATGTATATATATATATTAAATGACATGAGCATGAATATTATAAAAGGCCTGTTATCTTACCTGTGCTGCCTTGACATTGATCAGATGCCATTCTCGCTTCTTCTTCTTCTTTTTTCTAAGTTCGAGCTTAGAGTTGTAGTATATATACTCCCTGGCGATTTCTCTTAAATGTATTGTGATGATGTGAGGTAATGGTGTGAGAAAAGAGAAGAAATGAATGCATATTTATAGCTTGTTGGGTGTGGGTCGTCTTTATTGACTAAAACTTTGCTTGTATATAACACATTGTATAATCGATCGCCAACATTGTCCTTATCTATATTATTGATCCCGATCGGTGACCTTAACAGTAGAAGCAAAATGAAGAATAATGTTTTGGTATACCAAACGCAGAATAGCATTTGGTCAATCAACAGTTGTATTATTTTGTCGCCCTTGAAATCTGCTTTGTACGATACACGCACTTAGATGATAGGTATTGTTGACAAAATTTAGGAAAATAGTTGGGGATAACCTTATTTTATGACAACTGTGGGAGCAAATTTCGTCCCACTAGAATATTCGTCTAAGATTCGTTCGTCTTCTCCACTTCTCTTTCTCCCTGTAAAACAAATCGGGGTAAAAGGACTACACCCAGGGGGTGTTGGCCAAAGGCTCTCCAATGCCTAAGTTAGGTAGGGTATTTCAAGGAAAACTGGGTGGCCGGAGCCTTGTGTCAGAGAGAGAAAGAAAGTGGTGGCTAGGGTTTGTGAGAAATAATTTCTGCAGAGTTTCAGTAGGAATTTAGACGTACCTCCACCCTTGTGTGTGGCCATCTTTTTATAGTAGTCTCGGAGGCTAGGGTTTCAGAGGAATAATTTCGTAGTTGGTAAGGAATTATTCCTCCCCGATTTGGCATTGATTTGATTAATTAGGGATTTGATTTATTAGGGTAAATCAAATCCCTAATTCTGGTAGGTATCAAATCAAATCTCAATTTAATTAGGTTATTATCAATTTAATTGGGTAACCCCCAATTAAATTGAGTAACTCCCAATTAGGTTGAGTAATTCCCAATTAGGTCAAATAATCCCCAAATGAAATGAATTATTTGACCTAGGGTTTTGATTTAATTGGTTCCCACAAATGCCCCCCAGCTTCTGCATGGCGTGTGGCGGCATGTAGGAGATGTGAATTATCTGTTGGGCTATCCAGCTGTAACTGGGCTTCCTTCTTTGATTTGGGCTCCTGCGTGGAGGAGGTCTTTGACTTGCCACTTTGGTCTTTTAACTTGGGTTGTCCAGCTGTAACTGGGTTGGAGGCAGCCGGCCTGCTGCTGGAGCAAGTGGCAGTTTGGGTCGGCTTATTTGTGGTTGATCCAAACTACTTCAATTCCTTCTTTTTGTGACACGAACTAGGAACAGTATGAGTGAAGGTGATCATGTGTGGAGCACGGACATGTTGGAAGTCAGCAGCAGATGGGTAGGGGAGGTTGGCGATGGTCCGCTCGTTCCTCTCACCTACTGTGATGGTAAGTTGCATCCCTTTGATCTGCTACAGTAGCCATGGAATTCTTTATTGTGCGTCTGACTGACTTCTGTCTTCTGCTTGTAGAAAATGACATCCACAAGAAGCTCGATCTCAGCCCGAACACGATCAATGTTCATCAAGCTTTAAACATCCTTGCCAGGTTTTGTGGATTGTGCTGGTGGCTGAGTGAACATCAGAAGGAGGCTGATGGTCTGCCCCCGGCCGAAGATGTTGAAAGATGAGAGCTGCATGGCTCGGACCTAGATGATCTGCTAGTTGAGCGGGAGAAGTTCTCGACCAAGCTTCCTCATTCTTCCACGAGCAAGTCTTCCGTAAGGGGGTCTCGTTTGCTAGGAATGTCCCTATGGGAGTTGCTTCTTCATCTACCAGGATCAAGTGCCTCGTCAGCACGAACAGTAAGAAGATCAATGGCATGTAGGAGGTCCGGGATATTCTGCTCAGGTATCCACTCGAACTGCCTAAAACCCATGATCTACCCTGTGAGGAGGCTGTTGAGAAACGGGGTTTGAGTTGCTTGTGCCGATCCTGGGATCAAACTGAGAGGACTGTACATCTGTCTAGAAATCACGACTTGTCTGCAAAGCCACGAACAGTCAAGCACAGAGCTAACTCAATGTTGCGAGTTTCGGCCAAGAGAGCTAAAGAGTCGTCCGCTCGAGCAAAGAGTCCTTAAGTTCCGCGAACTGCCGGTCCAGAAGTTGATGATAGCTCCGATGGTCAAGTTTGACACTCATGTTGAAGCCACGGAGGCATCCAAGCATGAGATTGTTGCTAATGCGTACAAGTTGAGATACTCGGATTGAAGGAATAGTGCTTCTCCTTGTTGCCCTCTCGAACATGAAGACGGTAAGCAGCTTTATCTTGACCTGCCCCCTGCTCAAAGTGAGCAGAGCAATGTTGTGGATGCAGAAGCAGTTGAAGAGCATATAGCAAATGAAGCTACAATGGAGGAAGACAACTCCCAAGGTGGCGTAGCTGATAAGGTTAGACCATTTGCGAAGGAGAATGCAGGTGAGGCCGTTGAGTAGATGGTGCTGGTTGGCTGCTTTGTTATGGAATTTTCCGTTGTCTTTCAAACTTCAATTCTCATTGTATCTTGTAAGTGTACATCCGGAGACATAGCACTTGAAAAAGACTCCATTGAGTTTGTACTCGCGAAATAGCTTGCCTACAATGGAGATAAGGCTCGTCGCCTGTGTGCGTATGTCGGGGACATAACACTTGAAAAGACTCCATGAAGCTTGTACTCGAGGAGTAGCTTGCCTTCAGTGGAGGTGAGGCTTGTCGCCTGCTAGCATATGTCGGGGACATAATGCTCGAAAAAGACTTCATTGAGTTTGTGCTTCGTGGAGCAGCTTGTCTGCAATGGAAATAAGGCTTGTCACCTGCGAGCGTATGTCGGGGACATAATGCTCGAAAAAGACTCTATTGAGTTTGTGCTTCGAGGAGCAGCTTGTCTACAATGGAGATGAGGCTTGTCGTTTGCGAGCGTATGTCAGGGACACAATGCTCGAAAAGGATTCCATTGAGTTTGTGCTTCGTGAAGCAGCTTGTCTATAATGGAGTCGCCTGTGAGCGTATGTCGAGGACACAATGCTCGAAAAAGACTCCATTGAGTTTGTGCTTCGTGAAGCAGCTTGTCTGCAATGGAGATGAGGCTTGTCACCTGCGAGCGTATGTCGGGGACACAATGCTCGAAAAAGTCTCCATTGAGTTTGTGCTTCGAGGAGCAGCTTGTCTACAATGGAGATGAGGCTTGTCACCTACGAGCATATGTCAGGGACACAATGCTCGAAAAAGACTCCATTGAGTTCGTGCTTCGTGGAGCAACTTGTCTGCAATGAAGATGAGGCTTGTCGCCTACGAGCGTATGTCAAGGACACAATGCTCAAAAAAGACTCCATTGAGTTTGTGCTTTGTGGTGCAGCTTGTCTGCAATGGAGATGAGGCTTGTCGCCTACGAGCGTATGTTAGGGACACAATGCTCGAGAAAGACTCCATTGAGTTCGTGCTTCATGGAGCAACTTGTCTGCAATGGAGATGAAGGAGGCCCGTCGCCTACTTGGAGTCGAGCTGGTAAGCTGCAACTCGAACAATGGTCTTGTTGTTGCAAGATGCTAGCTGCTGATGGTATGCTGCTGCTCGAACAATGGTCTTCTTGCTGTGGTAAGACGTGAGCTGCTGCTGGTAAGTTGCAACTCGAACAATGGCCTTTTTATTGTAGCAAGATGTGAGCTACTGTTAGTAAGCTGCAACTCGAACAATGACCTTTTCTCGTTCCTCTTCGAGCAGATCAAGGTTGACTTTCATCTGCTTGCAGTTTTGGTCAAGACTACCCACCTCGATGCTCATGGAAGGGACTGTGATGTGTGGGGTAATGATTGCTTCTGTTCCCATAGGCCAGGGAAAATGGTGTCTCTCCGATTGATCTCCTTTTGGTTGTGCGATAAGCTCATAGGACTCCTGGCAACCCGTCGACCCATTTTCGTTTTGCGCATTCCAGTCTTTCCTTTACGCAGTCCAACACGATTTTGTTGGATGCCTCTGCTTAGCCATTGCCTTACGGTTATCTAGGAGTTGACAGGTGCTGTTTGATGCCATACTTCGCAAGGAATGCGGTGGTCTGCCTGCCCACGAACTGTGTACGTTGTCGGTGACTATTGATTGCGGGCAACCGAATCTGCAAATAATGTTCTTCCAGATGAACCGTTCAACATCGGCCTCCTTGGTAGAAGATAAAGCATCAACCTCAATCCATTTGGTCAAGTAATCAGTGGCAACGATCATCATCTCTTTATTGGCAGGCGCCGTCAGCATAGGTCCCACCAAATCAATGGCTCATTGCATGAATGGCCATGGACTGTTCTGCATATGGTATTCCTTAGCGGGCAGGCCAGGGACCGGCTTGTAGCGTTGGCATCGATCACATCTTCGAGCATACTCTGTGGAGTCTTGGCGCATGGTAGGCCAGAAATAGCCTATGCTAAGAGCCTTCTGAGCAAGCGATCTGCCCCCAGCGTGATTTCCACATTCGCTGTCGTGTATCTTGCAGAGAACCTCGAGCGTTTGCGGGTACTTGATGCAAGTGAGATGAGGCCCGAAGTATGATTTGCGGATAAGCATGTTGCTTTTCATGTAGTATCTTGCAGCCTTCTGCTTGATTTTTCTGGCCTCGGACTTGTCCTCGAGCAGGTTTTCATCCACTAGATAGTCAATGATGGGGTCTTGCCAGCTAGGATCCTCATCGATCTGCATCAGGTCCGGTTGCTCTGCCTCTTCTATGCTATGCTAGTCGAGGTGCTCGACTGGGATGGAGCGTCTGAACTGGGTATCCAGCGCCGATCCTAAGCTTGCCAGTGCATCTGCGTGCGCGTTCTCTGCTCGGGGCACTTGCTGGATGGTGAAGGTGGGAAACGCCTTCAATAACTCTTGGACTTTGTCAAGGTACAGGATCATCCTCGGGTGCTTCGCCACGTACTCTCCTAAGGCTTGACTTGTGATCAGCTGGGAATATGAGTAGATGGCCAACTTTTTGATTGATAGCTCCTTTGCCAAGCGCAGCCAGCGAGCAATGCCTCGTACTCTGCCTTGTTGTTTGAAGCCGGGAAGCCAAGCGTGATAGCTTGCTCTAGCAGGGTTCCATCCGGGGTGATGATGACGATGCCTGCTCCAGCTCCTTTCTGGTTCGACGCTCCGTCTACGCGCAACTACCACATGTCTCTGGGTTGGTCAGGTTCAGTGGAGGTCTTGTCTGCTCTCAAACTTTCCTTCTTTTGGCTGACCAGCTTCTCCTTTTCGGCTGATAGTGTGAATTCTGCAACAAAGTCTGCTAAGGCTTGAGCTTTTATTGCAGTCTTCGGCCGGTAGAGGAGATCGTATTGGCTTAGCTCTATAGCCCACTTCATAAGTCGCTGAGAAGCATCAGGGCTGTGGAGGATTGATCTCAAAGGAAAGTCGGTCATGACGATGACTCGGTGAGCTTGTAATAAGGTCGCAGCTTTCTCGCAGAAACCACAAGGACCAAAATGAGCTTCTCCAATTTCGGGTAGCGATGCATCGAGGAGAGCTTTTGACGTGTAGAATATCGGATGTTAGGCCCCAAGTTCTTCCTGGATGAGAGCTGAGCTGACGGCAGAGTTGGACACTGCCAGATACACGAATAAGTCTTCACCAGGAACTGGCTTTGAGAGCAGGGGAGGTGAAGGTAGGTATTTAGATTCTGGAAAGCTACTCACTCTTCATCCCATTTGTCTTTTTATCTTTTCTTCAAAGCTTTGAAGAATGGTCTGCACTTGTCGGTATATTTTGAGAGGAATCTGTTAAGGGTCGTTGCTCTGCCCGTCAAGCTTTGTATTTCCTTCACTGTGGAAGGCGTCACTAAGTACCCTAGGAACCGGCCAGACGATACACCGAACGTGCATTTACTTGGATTCAGCTTCATGCAATATTGGCGGAGCAAGCTGAACGCCTCGGTGAGGTTTTTGAGGTGGTCTGCTCGCTTGGGGGCTTTAACCAGCATATCGTCCACGTACACCTCCATGGTTCTGCCGATCTGTGCCTTGAAAATTTTATTCACGAGCCTTTGGTAGGTTGCTCCGGCGTTCTTTAGCCTAAAGCGCATGACCTTGTAGCAGTAGGTCCCTCTTTCGATGATGAAAGAAGTCTTCGCCTTGTCATCATCGTACATCATAATTTGATTATAGCCGGAGTAAGCATCCTTGAAACTGAGCAGCTGGTTGCCGGAAGTTGAATCCACGAGCTTGTCGATTCTCGGCAATGGGAAGTTGTCTTTAGGGCATGCTTTGTTGAGGTCGGTGTAATCGACACATACTCTCCATTTTTCCTTTTCTTGTTTTTCCACCAGAACAACGTTGGTCAGCCATTCCGAGTAGGAGGCCTCCTCAATGAAATCGGCAGCTAGGAGCTTGTCGATCACGGCTTCAATGATCACGACCCGCTCAGGAGCAAAGTTGTGTCTCTTCTGCACCACGGGCTTGCTAGCAGGGTTGACATGGAGCCGATGGCAGATGATGTTTGGGTCGATGCCGGGCATGTCAGATGGTGACCACGCGAGCATGTCTTTGTTGTTCTGGAGGAAGATGGTCAGCTCCATCTTCTCGTCTGGGCTTAGGCGCGAGCCGATCCGCGCTTTCTTGTCTGGCTGGTGAGGATCGAAGGGTACTAACTCAACGTCTTCCTCAGGCTTCCAACCTTCTTCAAGAGAGCCTTCCGGGCGGATTCCTTCGTCTCGATCCTTCTTGTTTGAATTTTGACCCGAGCCGATCTGTGCCTCCTTATCTGGCTGATCAGGATTTGGGGGTACTAACTCAACGTCTTCCTCAGGCTTCCAACCTTCTTCAAGAGAGCCTTCCCAGCGGATTCCCTCGTCTCGATCCTTCTTGTTTGGATTCTGGCATGAGCCGATCTGCGCCTCTTTGTCTGGCTAGCCAGGATCATGGGGTACTAACTCAACGTCATCATTAGGCTTCCAACCCTTTTCAGGGGAGTCTTCCGGGCGGATTCCCTCACCTTGATCCTGGTTCCTTAACTGCTATTGTGAGACAGCAACTTCCTTCCCTTTCGGGTTTGCTTGTCTGCTAAGAGCGCTTCCTGCCTCGTTGGCAGCTTGCATTACTAGTGTGAACTGCAGCTGCTTGCTCTTCTTGAGCCCTTGGGCTGTGCATCTCCTTGCCATGGCTTGGTCACTGTTGATCTGCCCGATCCCGGCCCCAAGGATGGGATAACGGATCTTCTGATGTAGAGCAGATGTGATGGCCTTGATCTTGGTGATCCACGGTCGGCCCAAGATTCCGTTGTAGGGGGAAACCTCGTCGATGACCATGAAGGTTTGCGAGCAGACCACTAGGGGTGAGTGGACATCCAGGTCGATCATTCCAACAGTGATTGATGTGGCCCTATTGAAGCCGGTGAGCGATCTGGCAAGTTTGCTAATCTTGGGCTCGAACCCCATCTGTTGGATAACAGATAGTTGCAGGATGTTGGCTGCGCTGCCCTCATCTACATGAACTCGCTCGATCACAGCTTGTTCAATTTGGATGCAGATGACTAGGGCAGCATTATGTCGCAGGTCAAGCCCGATCAAGTCCTTCTTCTGGAAGCCGATGATGGGTGTATCCACAATGGCTGGTACTCCCGTTGTGACTTGGGAGACATAGTTTCCTGAGCGATCTTTCTCTTGCACTCCTTGGTGGTCAGCCCGGACTCTTGGGAGTCGGCTAGAATAGTGTTGATTCGAATGACCTTTTGGGGAGGTTCCTTGGCAGCTGCATCACGATCCTCGATCTGCTGGATAGCCTTCTTTGCAACGAACTCTGTGTAATGGCCCTCTCTGACCAGCTCCTCAAAGTGCCTTTTCCAAGCGTTGCAGTTGTTGGTGTAATGACCATGCTCCCCGTGAAATGCGCAGTATTTACTAGTGTCTCTTTTAGAAGGGTCTCCCTTCATGGGTGGTGGTCTCCTCACCCACAGCTTGTCCTTCACCTAAGCTAGGATCTGGTGGATTGGGATAGCGAACTCAGTGAAGGTCCCTGTTTCTGAGCTTCCCTCTTGGGGCCGCGATCTGCGCTTATCTCGGGCTTTTTGCTCGAACTTATTGCTCTTTTGGCTTGCCTGCTTCGTCGGGTGGTCAACTTGGTTGCTAGCTTTCTTTGCGGCGATACGATCATCGTCCTAAACTGCGTAGCGCTCTGCCGTCGCGAACACTTCTGCCAAGGTTTGACTTGGAGTTATGGCCAGCTCCCGATATAGCTCGTGCTCGGTTGGCAAGCCCTTCTTGAAAGCTGAGGATGCAACTTGGTCGTTGCATCCTATGATGTTAGCCTTCTCAGCCTTAAACCGTTTCAGGTAGTCTCGTGGAGACTCGTCTGGCTTCTTGCGCAGGTTGAACAGGTGGTCCGCATGCTTTCTGACCGTCTTGTAAGAGATGTACTCCTTTGTGAAAATGATGGCGAACTCCTTGAAGTTGCTTATCAACGCGGACGGTAGAGTGTGGAACCAATCCTGAGCTGCTCCTCGCAAAGTCATCAAGGCGTCATCTGCCTTGTACAGAATCATAGCGCTCTTGAAGTGCCTCAAATGGCTCTCATGGTCAGAGTCCCCCTTGAATGGAGTGATGGATGGCGTTGTAAATCGCTTCGGCGGCGGAGCTTGTTCCACCTTGTTAGTAAATGGCGAGCATTCAACTCGATCAATTTCCTTGCACAGGGCCTCCTCTGTGCTTCCTTTAAGTCGGAGACCTCGAAGTTGGTCCTTTACTAGCTTCTCGACATCCTCTGCTCGCAGGGTTGGAGTCTCGGGCCGATGTCTTCGGTGCCTCGAGTGCGACTGGCTAAATTCTTCCTCGGTTCCCAAGGGTCGATCCCCTTGGGTGCCCTGCCCGTGAGGCAGATTAGGAGATTGAGCTTGTGAGGATTCCTCTGCAGCTTGTCGCCGCGTGTTGGTCCTCAAGCGGGCTGGTGGGCATCGATCGTCATCCTCTGCTCGCAGGGAATATCGTTCTGGTCGACGTCTTCGGTGCCTCGAGCATGATTGGCTAACTTCTTCTCTAGCTCCCAAGGGTCGATCCCCTTGGTTGCCCTGCCCGTGGGGCAGGAGAGAAGGTTGAGTTTGGGAGGATCCCTCCACAGCTTGTCGCTGCGTGTTGGACCTCAAGCGGGCTGGTGAGCGTTGATCGTCATCGTCTGCTCGCAAGGAAGGTCGTTCAAGTTGACGTCTTCGGTGCCTCGAGCGTGATTGGTTAACTTCTTCTCCAGCTCCCAAGGGTCGATCCCCTTAGTTTCCCTGCCCGTGGGGCAAGAGAGAAGGTTAAGTTTGGGAAGATCCCTCCACAGCTTGTCGCCGCGACCGCTCACGAACTCGAGCTCCTTGTGGACCTAAGCGAGCACGAACATTGGATTGTGGGCCTAGCCTCTCGAGCACATTGGTCTTGGGACCTAACCTCGAATGGCTCAGAGTACAGCTAGCAGCTGTCTGCATCTCGTCTGCACGATCTCGCTCTCTCCCCTGCCGGTTTGCCCCTGTCTAACCACCCCGGGACCTCTCGAACTGCTCGCCAGCATGCTCATGTGCCCTCCTCTCCTCATCACGAGGTCCAAGGTTGGGGCCTTGATTCAAGTTGATATGCCTGAGTAGCTGGCCAATCAGGTTGTTTTGATCATCGACCTTCTGTGTGAGTTGATCAACCCGCGAGTTAAGGTCCACCTGACTACGCGGGTCAAGTAGAGTGGTGTGCATCGGGCCCAACGGCATGTGGGCTAGGGCTCCATTAGACGCGTACACAGGTGCATATGTAAAGTGTGATCGCAAAGGAGGGAGAGAATGGATCTGCTCTAAGACCAGGACGACGTCAGAGTAGCCGTGGGGCTGTGCAGCTAGTCCGGTAGTTAAGTGGTGTGGCTGCTGTTGTGCTCCAACAGCATGACAGCGAGGCAGAGCAGCTCTGGTAATCGGAGCTGGCGACTGCAAGGCTGTGGAGGTCCCGGGGTCATGTGGCGGTTGTTCTGCAATTCCAGCAGTTGAAGGCGGCTGCAAAGCACTAGAAGACGGTTGCAAGGCGTTGGCAGCCATGATTCCGTGCGGTTGCATTGAGGTTTCCACCACGAAACCATGAGATGGGCCCGTCGTGGTGGCGTTACTCTTCGTACATCTTGTATCAACCGTGGTTGTTTGAAAAAATGTGTGAAAGATGGATTTGGAGCACGCTTTGAATATATCTCGTGCTCTCAATGAAAGCACCAATTTGTGGGAGCAAATTTCGTCCCACTAGAATATTCGTCTAAGATTCCTTTGTCTTCTCCACTTCTCTTTCTCCCTGCAAAACAAATCGGGGTAAAAGGACCACACCCGGGGGGTGTTGGCCAAAGGCCCTCCGATGCCTAAGTTAGGTAGGGTATTTCAAGAAAAACCAGGTGGCCGGAGCCGTGTGTGGTGGCCGGAGCCTTGTGTCAGAGAGAGAAAGAAAGTGGTGGCTAGGGTTTGTGAGAAATAATTTCTGCAGAGTTTCAGTAGGAATTTAGACGTACCTCCACCCTTGTGTGTGGCCATCTTTTTATAGTAGTCTCGGAGGCTAGGGTTTCAGAGGAATAATTCCGTAGTTGGTAAAGAATTATTCCTCCCCGATTTGGCATTGATTTGATTAATTAGGGATTTGATTTATTAGGGTAAATCAAATCCCTAATTGTGGTAGGTATCAAATCAAATCTCAATTTAATTAGGTTATTATCAATTTAATTGGGTAACCCCCAATTAAATTGAGTAACTCCCAATTAGGTTGAGTAATTCCCAATTAGGTCAAATAATCCCCAAATTGAAGGAATTATTTGACCTAGGGTTTTGATTTAATTGGTTCCCACAACAACCACACCTCCGGCTGTGAAAAGCTCATGAATTTGACCCGTTAAACTGAAAACATTTTGGAAAATCTGTTTATTTCTTTTTTTTTTTTTTTTTTTTTTTTTTTTTTGTTTAAGACAATAGGTTGCATTTATAATTCAAGCACAAAATGTTAAATAAAGTGTATGGGAATTCTCAGATATATTCAGATTGTATTCTTCTCCAATATGTTGGTATTTATAAAGAAGTGTAAAGATGTGTTAATCGTAAATACTGTAGGAAATAAATCTAAGAGATGTACTCTTGCATCCCTGGCTTGGACCCGCTTGCAGGAAATAATACAACATGCTTCCTCCACCGGAAAGGAAATGTGCGTGGATAGTCCATGAATGTTAATAAATTAGCCAAAGGTATTGCGTCCGCATCACTTGTACCAGCCAGCAAGGAAACATCTCAGCACGAAACAGAAGCAGCAAGCGATGGCCTGGAAAACTAGAAGACAGATGCAAATCGACTTCTCCGTCATCCTGCCAAATCGTCTTAGAAAAAAGTTTACAAGCGTCCCATCATTTGTCCCAGTCAGCAGTCCAGTGCCAGGATCAAACCTAGGAAGACGATGCCGTGGACATGGAACAATGCCGGCAAGCTGGGGCAGTGACAAGAGAAAGTTCAATACTTGAGGGACAAAGAAAATCAGGAGTGTTTCACTAAAATGGCCTAAAATCCCAGCTACTGCCATCGTCATCCCAGCAAAGTATGTGTATGTATCTCCAACAAAAGCTGAAGAAGGATACCAGTTGTAAGAGAACAACGCCAACGAGGTGGCTAATAAGGGTTGGACAAGATATAAAGAGAATGCATGTGCCATCTTATACTCAGAATCTGCAGATGCTCCAATTTGCATGATATTGTGTATTAAAATAGCAGATGCAATGACGACTGTCTGCCCAACTTCAAGACCATTCAAGCCCGCATGAATGTTGATGGAGTTTGTACAGAAAACCGCCAAAAGGCCCATGTATAGTTTATACATCCATCCTAGATCCAAAACCTCAAGCCCAACATATGGAACAAGAGGCTTCGGTATGATGATAGTTGTATGTCCAGCATAGGCCATCAGCAGAGGTAGAGCTGCAATGGATGGCAGTAGTAATTTCACCCTCCAAGGTACATCAAGAACATCATCTACAAATCCAAGCAATACCATAAAGCATATGGATGCTAATGCTGCATTGTACTCGACTAGCCAATTTGAATCTGCAGTGAAGTTGAAATACTGGAATAGGATTCCCAAGACCAAGAAAACAATTCCAACAACAATACCCAATGACTCAGGCACTTCGACAGTGCCCTGCGGGGTACCCTTTTTGTTAATGTCATAGCCAAAGAGGTTGCGCCTGAGAACGTATCTGGAAGCCACGGGGATCATCTTAACGGTGACGAAGAACCCGGCAAGGCTGAGAGCCGCATTGATGAGAATCGATTTTCGAAGTTCATGTTCGATCTTGCAGTGATAGAAGATGAGGTAAAAGTATGGGATTGAGAAGAAGAGCGTGAGCTTGAGAATTACACCTGACTTTGGGGGTGCAATTGGCGGGTCTGTTAATGGAGGTTCTTTGGGTTTGGGTCGTGTGGTGGTCTCGTTTGGTTTGGTTTGTGCGGACGAGTCTGTTGAAGCTCGCTTTCGAGCTGCCATGGCTCTCTCTGTCTCTCAATATTGGTGTCACTGCTTTGATACCATGTCAAACAAAGTGTGGGGAATTCTCAAATATATATTCAAGTATTTTTAAAGAAGTATAAAGATATGTTAACCCTATACACAATAGGAAATAAATCAAATAAGTATAAAGATATGTTAACCCTATACACAATAGGAAATAAATCTCAACTACAATAAGGCTAAATAGGTAAGTAACCAAAATTCTAACATAGTAAGGAACAAAACTCCTAACTAAATAAGGACTGACCAACACAAAGGTCACAAGACCTAGTACAAATACAGATAACCACTTAAAGTTATTATAAATATGGGATATTGGTTTGTTAATGTATAAATATGTAGACATTTGAGTGAGTTTCTTTTTCTCGGTTTTTTCTAATTTTTGAAAAGAAATATTATAGCCTTTAAAAGAATACAAATTTATAAATAAACTCAATTCTAGACAAGTATTTATAGAAAAACCCAAGCACTATTTAAACATAGAAACACACCCAAAATCAAGCCCAAAGTCAATTTTTTGGGTGTGTTTATAAATGGGTTTTGAGTGTGTGTAATGATGGGTTTTGGGTGTGTTTATATGTTTAAATAGTGCTTGGGTTTTTTTATAATTTCAACCCCCATTTTGGGTGTTTTAGTGAAACTCCCTTAAAAGAAATAGTATAGCCGGTTATACTAGCTTTTTTTTCATGTCTTTTTTTAAAGAAATAGTATAGCCGGACGGCTATACTTGGTTTTCCTAATTTTTAAAAAATAGTATAGCCGTCCTGAAATCTCTGCCAATGGCTTTGTGCCAGCCTGAAATCTCTGCCAATGGCTGCTATTGCTGGAATATTTCTAGAACGCATTGGTCACATCTGTTTGATGGTTTCTTTGCCTACAAACGGCATGATGTAGTCGATAAATAACTCCAAACCTAGATTATTCTGTCGAAATGTGATCTTCAAGACTGCAGGTTCTGCAGGATCTTCAAGACTTCAAGACTCCAAACCTAAACAGACTTCTAATGTTTCCTAAAACAAAGGATGACTCTTTTCATATTCCTAAGTAACTTCTTAGCATTCGCACTCCCTAATATCCCTTTATAAGAAAACAAACGGACTCTGACAGACAAATGTTATAAATGTTTTGTATCAGTATCAATAGTGAAAACAATGAGACCGATACAAGATGTTGGCAATTTGCAAGAATGACCTCAATAGATGAAATGGTGTCCATCAAAAGTACAACAAAGGACTCTGTATTCTTCTGTATGATAACAACTAGACACAAAAGCATGCCAAGAATTCACCATTAATCAAAAAGCAAAAACTCTCTTGCAATTTGCAAATATGCATGCATGCCCTGCCTCAAAATTCAAGTAACATATCTCAATCGATACCAGCCCCAGTGCTGCTATGTGCACCAGAAACCTGAATCCTTAGAAACTCCAATTCCATCTCCAACTGGAAATTCCTCCCCCTCTCATTCTCCAACTCCACCCTCAGCCTCTCAATCACTTGCCCCATCTGCTCCTCTCTGCTCAACTCCCAAGCTTCCACCCCTCTCAACACGCTCAACAATTTCATCACATTCTGCCTCTGCTCATCCAAGCTCCCTATGAAAGCCACTAGCGCACCCATCATTGCTTCCCTATCCAAACCACCGCCCACATTTCCACTCAGGGCACCCACCAGGGCTTCCTCATCAACACCACCACCACCCAACAATCCCCTTGTCTCACCCACATTCTCACTATGCTCACCCACCGCCATTGCTTCCCTCTCAGCTCCTATCACACCCACATTCTCACTCTTGGCCTCCTCCCCAACCCGACCCGGTGAACTCGGATTCGACTCACTCCACTCAACTCCCCTGTCCTGGATGATGGTTTCTCCACCAAACCGAACCATTTTCACAGCCGAATCGCCTTGAGGCTCAACTGGGAACACAGGGACGAGACCAAACTCATCCTCATTGAAATTCCACCCACTAATCCTTCTGTGCTTAGCCCTCTGCCTCGCTGAGCTACCTTCATCATCTTCCTCTTCATCCTCGTCATGCTCAGCATTAATACCCTTCTCCTTCATCAGCCCACCCAAACCCCTGGTTTTCTTGAACCTTTCCTCAACGCTGGACAAACCCAGAAGCACATTCTTCACCAGAAAATCCAAGCCCCCTGCAATTCTTGAAAAACGAATGCCTCAGCAACCTCTCCGCAGTGGGCCTCTTGTTCGGGTCCTGATCAAGACAACAACCCACCAAGTCCTTAAAGGCCTTAGAGAACTTCTTGCTCTTGTAATTCTTGTCCTGACGATTTTCATAATCCGAAAAGCCGAACCTCTTCATGATCTTCAAAAGCAGAGACTTTGAAGGAGGCAAGTTAGACAGAGGAGGCCCCCCACGAGCCAATTCCAGAGCTGTGATACCAAAAGACCATACATCCGCCTTACATCCGTAGCCGTTATGCGAGTGTATCACCTCAGGCGCTATCCAATACGGCGTCTCAGCAACGTCGTTTAACCGAATCGAAGACTCTCCACTCAAATTGGCCTCATAAACAGAAGCAGAAATCCCAAAGTCTGCAACTTTAACCGACCCATTGAAGTCAATCAAGATATTACCAGCCTTGATGTCTCTGTGAAGGTGCCCTTGGTCATGAAGATACGACATGGCGTTCAGTGTCTCCCTGAGGACGACGGCAATGCAGGGCTCAGGTAGGCCGTCGGGGAAAGCAGAGGAGATTATGGATTGGAGAGACCCGGCGGACATGAACGGCATGACGACCCAAAGATGACGGTCCACAGTGAAAGAACAATAGGCGCTGAGGATATTGGGGTGTGAAAGAAGAGAGAGCATCTTGGTTTCACGTAGAATGTTGTCGAATTCGGCCCGGGATTGATCGAGATCGATGGACTTGATTGCCACGATTGTGTTGTTCATCGGCAAACATATGGCTTTGTAAACAACAGCGCTGACGCCGAAGCCAATTTCATCGAGGATTTGGTACGCAGTTGAGTCCAATGGGAATTGGACTTTCTTGGGTTCCGGGTTTTCTTGGTGAGAAGAAGAAGTCGACATTGGAGAAGAAAAAAAAAGCAGAGATGTTGATGAACTGAATTGGGTTTTTCTGAATTCTGGGAAGTGGGTTTTGTTGGAGGAGATTGATGGGTTATGGAAAGAAAAAGAAAAATAAGGGTTTAAGCAGAAATCCTGAGAAAGGTTGATGAGGCGGTGAGTGTGGCTTTGGGACGATGCATGTGAGTGTTGAACAGCTCTGCTTTTAGCCTTTTAACATTCCAGAGTTGGGGGCTGAAAGCGAAGTTATTGCATGTAATTGCAATTAGTTAGGTTGGTTAAGATAATACAGTTATCTTTGATACTTGGAAGAATCTTTGATCTTTTGTGAGGGTTTCTTTGTAATCGGATTAGTTAGGTTGGTTAAGATGATACAGTTATTTGCCATGTCAGCATTTTCTTGGGAAGGAAGTCTTTTAACAATTTTTAATCCTATTATTTATGTTTTGTGATAGAATTAATCGAGTGTTAGACACTGAGGGGTCCACCAAAAGTTTGATGTTATCATAATTAGTAATACTTTTGTCATAATTAAAAAAAACAAATCATACATTTGTCCGAATTGATGAATATTACCTGTAAGTTTTATTTTTGAAAGTTCTAATTTTACGTCTCTAAAAATTCGAGTCTAAAATAATGTCATTCTTCCCTAATTTGGACTTTTTTTTTGGTTAACTAAAGAGGGATTTCAAATTTGAGTTTTTCTTAACATTAAAACAAGGAAAAATATTAAACGAAAAAAATTATTAAACTAAGAGGTAGGTAGTCTCAACTTGAACTCAATGGTTGAAGCTTTTTCTCTTCTCTTGCCATAAGAGTGATTTTGAAAGGGCGCTCAACATGAGAGAGGTCCAGAAGTATTATGGGCATGGTCATAGAGAGGCTTCTACAATGAGGAGTTAAAGTGAGGAGATTATTTGAGGAGACCGATCCGACCGTCAAAATATTTAAAATATTTAAGTCCCATGATTTCTTTACATTTGTTGATGGTGAGATTTGACCTCCTCAAATAAGCTCCTCACTTTAAGCCCTCATTATAGCCTTTCCATGGAGAGGCATCCCGTATTGTTAATGTATTGTTAATGTATTATGGGCATGGTCATGGAGAGGTCCAGAAGTATTATGGGCTTAAATTATGTTGAGTTTCTTCCATATTGGTGGGCTAGGTTCAACCCAAACTTATTGGGCTTAGCTCTGGTCATTATCAAACACAATTATTGGTGAAATTTCGTCCATATTACGGCTTCACTCTATAGAAAGCCTAATTTGAAGGCAAAAACAGTAGAATTCTTTAGTGAATAAAAAGAGAAGGGTATTGTCTTGCAAACTAGTGGTACCAAGTTCGAACCTCTATGACATTATAGTAGTGTGTGTGAGAAACCCATCATCTCCTGTAGTTTAGACTTTCGCTTGTACTCGAAAAAGAAAAGAAAATAACCTTGACTTGCAAAATAATGGTTTTATGTTTGAACCATCTTGACACCTTTAGTAATGTGTGTACGAAAAACCTCATTCCCCTTATAATTTAGACTATCGCTTGTATTAAAGAATAATAATAAGAACAATAAAAGCATACAAACCATATTATTAATTCAGAAAAATGGAAATAGCATGGACACCAGCCTTGTCCCTATTGGCCTTGCTACATGAAAATAATAGAACCCAAAAAATAGACAACCAAGGAAACTATGGCAGAGAGTAATGTGATTGATGGTGGAATGCGACCCTTGTCTTTCCTTATCAGCATCCCTTCAACGATAGGGTAGTTCATCAAAATGACATAAAAGGGTATGAAAATTTGTATGAAAAATTTGTCCAACTCCCCCAAAAAGATGACTCTAGAAATCCCAACTGCAAAGGAAGCCATGTTCAAGATCACCAGAGCAGTCATTGGAGCAAGAAATAATATTGATGTTTGGAAATCAAACACCCCCATATTGTAACGCTTGAGTTGGTCAACATCGTCAACTTTGTTGGTTAGGCAGAAATTGGCTTCTCTCATACCAATTTTCTTCATGAAGCCATCCACACTGCCATATAAGTCAGATGTAACTGATTTCATCATCCATATCCTTTGCTCATTTATCCAATGTCGAAATGTAAATCCCGTTGAGAGAACTTCGTATAAATGTTTTGAAATCAACGATAGAAATACGAATGAAAATACGATGAAGTATGAATTTGAGACCTGCAAATCCAAGAATAACAAGACCAATATGTATTAGGATATTGCATAACACTAAATCAAATTGAAGATTTTATGATGAGAATTATTTTTTTATGAGGACAGTAGAATAGAATGGATGACTATAAGATAAATATTTATATTGTGAGATTGTCAGACTGTGTCAGTCTTTATTGTCAGATATTGTGACGAAAGATATATATTTTTTATTATGCGCAAGAATTTCCTTAAAGATAAGTACTCTTTATCTTGAATCATTTGCACAAAAGATATTTGATAGGAAGAAACATATATTAAAAAAATCTTTAATTACCTCTGGGTACAAAGGAATGCCATTGAGTAGGCAGAGCTGAGGTGTGGTAGCAAAGCACCACAATGGCAAGAAATGGAAAATGGGGATAAGAGCCATTTCTGCATAACACATACTTTGAACGAAAGTGGACGTTTTCAAAGGGCCATATATAAGAGGACAAAACTTGGAGAAAAGAACATCAACCATCCCAGAGGTCCATCTAGTTACATGGACTAAAAAGTCATCCAAATTGGTGACGCCTCTGCCCAAGAACTGTGGCCTTGGTGGATTACAATACACCGAAATCCAACCTTTGCAATGCAAACGAAACCCTGTGACGTAATCTTCCGCCACAGACCCATACATGAAACCAACCTGCCATAAATGAAAGAAAGACCACAATAATTATTAAGTTGAATGATTCAATGGGTATAGTTTTAATAGTATCTGTACTTGCCTCTTCCCCCCATTCGGTGCCATTTTCGAAGGCACAAGAGGCTAGAAGTTGGGCTTCATTTAGCAATGCATTCTTTCTGTGGATGAGCATATCAGGCTTGTTGTTTTGGTGGAGGGATTTGATGAACTCATTGGATGGACCAAAAGATTCTCTAAGTTTCATGGGATCCCCATCTGGAAATTCAAAAGTGAAACTAGTAATTAGCTATAGAAACTTGTCTAAGAACATATACTATTAATGGATAAGGGGTTGATAGCTCAAGTAGTTAAGAGCAGAGCATTCCCTTGCACCCGATGTCCTAGGATAAACTTGTCAGGATAATAACAATTTAATTTTCTTTTTCAAACCATAGCTTTTTCCTTGAAGCAAAGATTAATACAATCAAACTGAAATGGTTGACAAAAACTGGATGATTGACTGTTTGGTATTTATTAAGTGTGACCTGCAGTTGCACTTTCAATTACCAAGTCGATCCAAGTAAAACAATGTATACAAAAACACACCTTCATGTATGGAGCTTGAACATAAGGACAACCTCTTGATGTAATAGCCAGTACCAGACACACCTGGCCCTCCAACCCCATCAAAACCTTGCCATTGCAGCTTTGAAAGTAGTCAAGACCAACAAGTCATAAAATTGTCAGATATATTATTGCACATAAAATATATATATATGATTTTCATTAATTATATTTAGGTGCTAATTTGTAATTAAATATATTCATGTATAACTAAAGTGAAGTTTTGTCCTTGAATCCATACCCAAAATACCGACCTCAGCTGACTGTCATAGATATCATTATTACTGATGTTGTGAAATTTTTGAGGGAATTGAACAAATGCTAGAGAGGGTGATATCTTTGGGTCAAGATGGAAACACATTGCTTGCCGAGCCGAACTTGGATCATGGCAATGCATGTCACAATCTAGCCCTAATATGTAAGGAGAATTGCTTATCACACCAGAGACCCGTAGCTGAAAAACAATAAGTGCACAATATATTAATTTACACGTGAATAAATAAATACATAGATACGTAGAACAGTTGTTCACTTGTCATATAGTCGGGCTTGTATAAATTATGTCACACTATCACTTTGGGTTAATGATCATACTAGATATTTGATAAAAGAATATTACCGTAGATGCATAAATGGAGGAAGATTAACGAAAGATTGAAAGAGAGAGATACATACGAGAACATTGAGCGCTCCAGCCTTAAAATTGTGGAAATGAGAAGGCCTTTTCTCACGAGAAACATATACAAGGAGAGGCATAATTTTGGTTTCATTTTCTTGAATTGCATCATTGCTGGATGTTTCTTGTATGACCTGCCAAATTTCCAGATATGGGTTATGATCATGAATTCATGTTAGCGGTGGGGACATATATTTTCTCCTTTTGTTTTTTGTTTTCGTTTTTATTTTTTGTTTTTGTTTTTTGTGTGGGTATGGAATATGCTTTCTATCTAGCTAACTGCGTTTATATATAGGGACATTTTGGAAACTTGGCTTCTTGTGATGATGAGGTCACAAACCAAGGCTTACTCTCAACATATTATCAATATATTATGACTAAATTATAAAAAATTGGGAACTATATTGGGACTAGGGTCTTAAATATAGATCTATTTATAAATTATATAGGTTTCTACATATTTATTAGAGTTTGGCTCTCGTTTTTCTTTTGAATGTTAACTTAAAAAAAAAAAAAAAAAAAAAAAAAAAAAAAAATAGGTCTCAGTGGTAGGTATTCGAAAACAACCTCAATTAAAGCACTAAAAACTCATTAATATTTATTTAGAAGATGTAAAAGTAAAAGATTTCTTTTAAGCGATATATATATATATATATATATACAGAGAGCTTCCATTTAGGGATCCCTCAAATAAGCTTATTTGAGGGACACCCCTTGTAGGGCCCACTCCGGATTGTATTTCACTAATCCAAACCGTCTATTTTGTAGATACACATTCAAAGATCATCTCTACAAAAAATCACTTGAATCCGATATCATTTGACCATTCAATTGAGTTATTGAAATTTTAGTACTTTCTTGAAGCACCGTGTTCTTTGATTTTGTAGGACACAATTGGATGTCGAAACGGTTTCCGATTTGTCTAATTTTTTGTAAGGATGATCTATGAATGAAGACCTAAAAAATAGATGGTTTTGATCATTGGAAAAAAAATTGTAGGGTACCCTAAAGGGCGTCCCTCAAATAATTTTATTTGAGGGATCCCTCAATAGAAGGGGACTGTATTTATATATATATATATATATATATATATATATATATATATATATATAAACCCAAACAATACCAAATGTTAATATATACCTACCTCAATCACTGCAGGGTGATCTCGACTCGGTCCGCTTCTTGTGTCTCCAACCGTTGCTTTTTCTCTTACTCTTTTCTTGAACGCCTCATATTTCTCCTGCACCCAAATCTCCCCCATCAACTCTGGTAGCTAGAAACACCATTAATATAATACATAATATATCGTCACATATGAGTACTGTTTTCTTGTGTCCTATCAACTGTTGATTTTGTATATCATCTCTCTAATAAATCGGTGATATACAGTTAATTCGAAAATTTCAACTCTCATTCACCTTAATATCTTCTCTGTCTTGAATGAACTCGCTGCCGCCAAAATCAGCATCCTCTTCTTCTGCAGAGAAATAAGCCTCGGGAGCCCTGCACTTGATCCCATACCTCCTACAAAATGGAAGCCACCACTTTGCAAACCTCCAAGCCTCCCTCATACCCTTCAAAGTCACAGCAGCACCACCATCATCGGACAGATACACATGAAGTTTATCTGGCGGATAGTCCATTGCCATGGCAGATAAAACAGTGTTCATCACCCCAACAGTCGGTTCCTTCTCCGGATCCGCAGTGCAGATGAACACATCAACAGCCGGGAGCTTATCATCGCCAGGCAGCCTCTCCGGGAACGCGGTTCGCGAAACGGGACGCCACCGAAAAGACTGGCTGAGGAGCCACTCGAAGGATAGGAGGATTTCTGAGACAAACACAAGTAGCCATGCTACGGTGGTTGCTTTGGTTTTGGTAGAGTCTGGAAGAAGAAGAAAGAAGCTCTGTAGTAAAGCAAGAAGACTAAAGCTATAGAGTGGAAGAATATATGTGTCCGGTTGATGAAGATTGAAAGCTTGTGGGCATGGCAGAGATGAAGGGGGAGCTTAGAAGAACTCTCCATATCTTCTTCTGTTGTGGCAAGTTTTGTGCTTGGTATGCGCGTTCTCTCAGCACACACAAGTATCAACTACCTACGCCCTCCACCTCCTTTTAAAGGACCATAACACTGTTTAATTAAATAATTAAAAATAAAAATGTGGAGTAATTGATATTGTTAAAATATCAACCCCAGCTCATCCATGTTCTGGAACCACCAGAAGTCTAAATAACAAAGTGATAATGTCGGTTACCACTAGAAATATCTAGATTAAATATTGAAGTTTGGAAGACATGAAGCTTTCTAATTTATTTTTCCGATCAAGTGGGGGTTTTAAAACCCCACAGAACAGCTGAACTTTATTAAAGGAGATCTGACGGCCATGAGAGACTCCTAGCAAGTCATCCACTGGCCGTAAGAAGCTTTCTAATTTAACCAATCAAGAATCAAGAATTGAGTCGAGAAGAAGAGTGAACAATAAGCTATAGAGCCAAGTAGTCTTTGTAAGGAGCACGGGTGTTTTAGAGTTTATCTTTAGAAGTGAGAAAGAGTGCTCGTAAAAGTTGGTTTTCCTTTGAGAATTGTCTTATTGTAATATTTTACGAGTTTAATACAAGTAAATTATTTACTTATTTGTCTCTAACAAATATATATTAGAGTTGTGTACTCTAATTTTTTTTAACAAATCTATATTATTTACTTGAATTATATGTATTCAAAAGAGAAGATATGGTTCTGTGATTACAAGGGTCCAAAAATTTAATGGGTCTGTCCAAGTCAATTACGTCTCATGTTATTGGAACTTCTCTGCGGCTAAGTCAAAGAAGCTTTTGGCACAATCAACAAAACAATGTATTCTTGTTGTTTTTCATTAGCAAAAACGCGACTTCGTGGGCCGATGGCAATCAATCTTGAGGCGCAAGAATAAAAAGTAAACAACAAGGTGGTGCGTGGCGGCCAAGCCCCAAACATTATAATTATTTTCAAATGGCAATCAATCTTGAGGCGCAGGAAAAAATATATATTAGTCCTTGAAAGAAAACAAAAGGTGGTGCGTGGTGGCCAAGCCCCAAACATTATAATTATTTTCAAATGGCAATCAATCTTGAGGCGCAGGAAAAAATATATATCAGTCCTTGAAAGAAAACAAAAGGTGGTGCGTGGTGGCCAAGCCCCAAACATTATAATTATTTTCTTAGAAAATAACACAAATTCGAATTTTATTTTAGATAGTTTTAAGTACATTCTCTACGCAGAAGTGAGTTATATCAATTGGTTAAAATAGTAAGTCAAGCCTCTTGATTTGAAATTAATTTTAATAAAATAAATTAGTTTAAAGTAATTTAGATTATCATTTATATTTTAAAAAAAATAAAAATAAAACTACATTTTTTAAATTAATATTTTCCTTGAAGAACCCGAAATATAATATTAAGAAGCATATACAGTTGTGAGGGATTTGTAGCTCAAGTGATTATGAGCTTTTACCAAGCCCTCAATATAAATCATGCTCACTACTGCACTTAAATTAGTTTCATCTCACCCCTTATTAGACAATCAATAGATTCCACTTCGTATTCATATCCAAGACTTCAAATTAAAGACCGAGTAACTTGGGCACAGTTAAGCAATGGCATATGCATATATTAAGGTCTATCATAAGAAAACCAACACAATACAAATTTCGTTAACAAAGTAATTCATACAAAAACAGAGAAATTTAGAGCTGCAACTTACCACAAAAAACAAGGTTCTGATCCTCCCAGCTCCTCCCTTTAGCCCACAAGCACATGACCCTTCTTCTTCTGTTGTGCCATGTACTCCTGAAGTCGCTTAGCTTTCTCTACCATTTCCCCAATGACCTCCTCCGTCTCATCAATGATCTGCTTCGGCAGATGAACCTCCAAAAAATCTTTACCAGCCTCTTCATGTCTCTCTTCCTCAAAATTCAACCCTTTTGAAGCCTCATCGTCCTTCACATTAATTATTACAGAGTCTCCCAAATCTCTCTGCTCAGGAACATCAGGTTTATCACACACCGGTAGCTCCTCTGGTACACTCTTCCTCCTCCTCGCACCGCCACGTGTCCTTTTCGGCTCAATCTTCACCTCTCCACCATCTACACCAGAATTATCTGGAATCTTCGCCAATTCCTCATTCTTTGAGCTCCGAGTTCGCCTCGTACTCATTTCCGGAACCAAATTTTCCTCCACCGGCTTCTCATCTTCAACCACACTCTTCAAAACCCTAGCTTTGGGCGGTCGGCCCCTCCTTCGATTCCCTACGGCCTCAATCTCCTCAGCATTTTCTTTCTCCAACTCGCGCTTTGCTTCCCTCTCCTTCGCAGCCCTACCTCTCTGGCCCCGACCCTGTGCAACCGACCCCACCGTAGTCTCCGCAACTACTGCGACTGCGGCACGCCTAGGGTTCCGTCTGAGCCGGCTCTCCTCGTAGCCGTCGATCTTCACGGTGATAGAGGTGTACTCGCCGATTTTGATTTCGTCGCCGTCGCTGAGGTCCAAGGGCGTGTTTGGGGTGACCTTGGTGTCGTTCAACAGGACCCTCCAAGTCGCATTACTTTAAACTTTATAGATTTCAATTTGGCATGTTCAATAATATGTGTATAATTCGTGAATTTTATGTGTATTATTGAAAAATTTGTAAAAAATACATGTATTGAATATGAAAAATAAATATGTATATGTTCAATACGAGTATTGAAAAAATATTGAAATAATAATAATAATAAGAGGTAACCTCCTCTCTTGTTTTGAAAATCTGACTCAAAAACTTAGCATTTCTTAATATAATTGACTTCAAACCTTTTTTGAAAAAGGAAGCTAAAATTTGAGATTTATTAGCAAATTAAATTCATCATTTGTAAAGAAGCGTTCTTCCAAGGCTCTACCAAATATAAATATAGCAGATTTACCAAAACAGAGTAGTGATTTCGGTCCTTCTATCCCAGTTTAGCTTATGGCAGACCAAATTAAATACTTCTGTAGCTTTTTTCATACACTCGCAAAAACAAAAACAAGAACAATAGAGAAGAATTAAGGGAATTACTGTCAACTTTTATCAAACCATTCTTAGATATTCACATATAACATACACAGAAAGACAATCACATTATTTATTACTAAACACAATGCATGGAGATTAATACAACTCCTTATTTCATTATTTCACATGACCTCGAAGGTATGGATTAGCCAATTATAGGAACCTTGGTAACAATGCCACGTTTATTGACCCAAACTCGAACCCTATCGCATCGAAAATCAGCAGTGACAAATGTTCCTTCTTTCACAATCACAGCATTCAGCAAATGATTCTCGCTCTCAATCGTTGCCGCGGCGTCCTTCCCCTTGTCTCCAACGAGCTCGGGCCATGAATCCTTACCTTCACATTCAGACGACATGATCAACCGATTGCCTATTCTTTTACCTAGAATGGTACTTCAACTCTCTGAGCTCTCTCTCTCTCTTGTACTGTAATATTGTTTGTGGTGTATTAATTGGGGTGAAGAAGAGATATGTTTATTTATAGTGGTACCATTTAATGGATTGTGGTTGGTTGCTATTGACTTTTTTGGTGTGTTACGTAAGCTGAAAGTTAATTTGCTTTGTTTTCAAAATCTTGACAGCAAAATGCAATTTAACAGCAGATTCAAAGTCAACATTGTTGCAGGCTTAAGAAACATTCAATTTTGTTGAATGTTGTGATTGATTAGCTCTAATGGAAAAAGTCTGTTGTATTGAAGGTCAAGAAATCTGGTTTGTACGATACACGTACTTGGCTGATAAGAATCTGAAGGACATAAAATAAACGTACTGGAAATATTTTATGGATAACGTCAGGTGATATTTGGTTGTTGCTTTTTTCATAGTATTAAAAACTCCAACCGCACAAGAGGGTATCTGAAAAAAGAAAAAGAAAAGAGAAAAGGAATCTATTTCTTTTTGTTTTCTTTCGTTGTAAAGATTAAAGAACAGTAAATGAAGGTATTTAAATCTACCTTGTGTATGGTTTTCTTATTTTCTGTCTGTTGCTGTAAACATTTGTTTTGATTTCCAGAAGATTGATATCACTAAGGGATCTGGTTTCTAATTTTATTTGAAGTCATCAAGAAATTATTATTTTTAATCTGGTGGTAATGTTTCCCCTCTTCACCAAAACAAAATCTGGTAGGACTGTGCTTCTGTGGAGGACATTTGCTTTGTCAGTTAAGAGTGCTATCCCCATGACATGCAAGTCCCTCTCTTGTCCCACGGGAATGAAAAAGACATGGGTTCAGGCACATTAATTATTGACCAGGAAATCAATGAACAACCAACTTTGCTATGTGGTGGTTCTCCACCAAACAACTTTCTGAATTATGTCTGTTGAGGTTAAGAGCTTTGAGAGATTGATGTGATTCCAAATATCTATCATTTCAACTGATAGCTTGTTGAATTTATGTTCAAAAGCAGAAGGTGAAAACCAGGGTGGTGAAGAAGAATGTGAATCCAGAGTGGAATGAAGATTTGACACTTTCAGTTGCTATACTTATTTTCACACGTGGGGGCTAAATCGCAAGGAGGGTCCTCTTTTATATATATACACACTCGGTTTTTTTCATTTTTTTAAAAATCGTATAGCCGGTTGGCTATACTTACTTTGACACGTGAGCTCGTAACAGCAATGTGGTTCTGTTTTTTTAAATTTATAAACAGTATAGCCGCGCGGCTATACGTAGTTTTTAATAGCCACACGGCTGTACATGTTTTGATACAATCGCAAGGACAGGTCTAGCCGCGCGGCTATACTCGGTTTTATAATTGTTTTAAAAAATACAGCGCGCGGCTATACCTGTGTCGACACGTAATCGCAAGGCGGGTCCCCCGTTTTCTGGTTTTTTTTTTTAAATAGTATAGCCGTTTGAATATAATTATTTTGACACGTGAGCTCGTAACTGCAATGTGGTCCTCTTTTTAAATATATAAACAGTATAGCCGCTCGGCTGTACATGTTTTGATACAAAGAGGAGTATAGCCGGCGGCTATACTCGGTTTTTAATTGTTTTTAAAAAATACAACCGGGCGGCTATACTTGTGTCTTTTCTTTATTATAAATAGTCGGCCGGCTATACTTGGTTTTTTTTCTGATTTTAGCCCAACTTATCACCTCAATAATTCGAACACAGATTATTCTCTCTCTATAAGTGAGTGTTGGATTTGTTTTCAAATCCCATAACATTTCCTGATATAATTGAAGTTCAAAACTTATAGAAAGAATGTTAATTTATAACAATCAAAGTGGTTGGAAAATCTGAGAACTTTTCATTCTTACTGATTGAAAGGATGTTTCATAAAACCGAAGCTCTACCACCAATTCCAGAAATCCAGTGAAACTTGAGGTTAACAATCAAACATTAGGTTCATGACCAATCGATCAAAAAGCATAAAACCCCTGTCTTTTTTTCTTGCTTGCTTCTGCACTGCCATTGCAGCAACAAAAACAACATACGTAATATGTGCATCTATTTGGGTAACTGCAAAATATCTAACATCAACAAAAACAACAAGAACACAAATATATTGGGTAAGGAACAAAAACATAGTTAATAACGTCAGTGAGATCAGATCCAATCTGTCAAATCAAAAGGAATTAGATCTACTTCGTTGCTCATAGAAGAAACGCACTGTCTTCCATGTACATGTTAAACGAAAGAGATTGAACGGGTCCAGTACATCTCTTTATACAAAGAAACACGGCAGAGAGTAGAGAGAGAGAGTCAGAAAGAATCTTTTGTTCTTTTCTCGGCCGTGATTTCATTGTATAAAAAAATGGAATGAACCCTTTGATTGATTGATTTTGAGCCTTCAATACCCTATTCTATTTTAAGGCAAAAGATAAAGGTACCGCCGCTGTAAGCTGAAGATGAGTGTACGGCTCTGTCTATCTATGGCTAGGGCTAAGGCACGGGTGATGAATGATGATGTTATGTTGATATTTATAGGCACAAAGATGCACCACGTGTCTCTCTCTCTCTCTCTCTCTCTCTCTCTCTCTCTCTCTCTCTCTCTCCCTGCGTACTCTCCACGGAAATCAACAGTGAAGAGAAAACCCTAGTCAAAGTCAAACACCTTCATATGGTATAAAAAGCTTTTGGGCCTTTTCGACCACAAAAAAGAAAGCCTTTGGGCCTTCGGGTGATCAATGGTTATTTTTACAATTGGCAAACATCACTTTTAGTCCTTATAGTTTATCGGATTTTCACTTTTGTCCATGTGATTTTAATTCTTACAATCAAACCCTTACAGATATCTAGCAAATTTCCATTCAATTCTGCGACAGAGCATGCATCGCTGACATAAAGAGGTATTGTGCACAAAATTAGAGGGAATTTAATAGAGTTTGTAACATGTCCTTGAATTGCGAGGGATTTAAAATAGAGACAAAATTTACATAAGTAAAACTATGAGAACCAAATTGGTAAACTACATGAATCAAAAATGACTTTTTAGTTTTACCTTTATAATTTGACCCATTTACCAAATATAGCAAATTAGTTGGAAAAAAAATGCAAAACAAAACAATTCCAAGCCAATTTGGATCCAATAAAATTTCTCTAAAATATTTTATGAGGATGAATTACACTATAAGGCAGAAGTATACCTATGGCCCAAATGGCTACAAGTACATTACAAGTGTTCAGGTGAAAACTCCAAGTAACCTTGTCATCCCTTACTCTCTATATCTACAATAACGCAACAAAAAAAAAAATGGTTTTAGGATTCGTGAAGTTGTTTTGTCCAGTCAAAATGCGCCCAATCTTGATCAAAGCTCTTAACTGCTTGCTTTTGTGCCTCCACTGTCTCGTATCTTCGGCGCCGGTACATGTCTTCCTCAGGCAATTGTAGCATGCCTCTGATAACATTCAGCCCAAGATTGCTATTGAACTGTGTTTCATCATCAATCACATGGACAAACCCCTTATTTAAACCAAACTCGACATGGAAATAAGGAAAGTGCTCCGGAATTGAGCCCCGTAATCCCTTCACGCTTGTGTCGATCAGTTTTTTTGCATTGTGTTGGCTCCACTCATCTTCAGCTTCGTCAATTGCCTGAGATTTTTTTTTTCCAAAGGTGTAGAAAAATTAAAGTCAGAACGTGAATTCAACAATATAGACTAAAATGTATATAACATTTTAGTCTCTGTGTGTATCATGTATGACAAAATCTATAAGCTGGACATGCACACGTATATGTACATGTATATGTATCTAAATTTTCTATGACAGATTTTTTGATAGAGAATAATGTCACTTGATTCTTAATATTCAAGAAAATAAGGGGATAAATCATATGAGTTTTCCAGAAAAATAAGTAAAAGCATTTCAAAACGAGCAGCAGAAATCAATGCATTTTAAAGAAAAATAAGAACATATCCTTACCTTTTTAAAATACAGAGGAGCCTCCTTCGCAATTTCATGGGGCAAAGGAATGCACTCAACTATACAGTGACGGCGTTGTTGAGCCAACCCCATCACAGTTTCAAGAAACACTACTTCCTTCTCTTGCTTTGCAAACATCATAATCAGGCATTTCTTGAAATTTCGAATTTCTTGCCACACATCGTCATCAACAGCTCTTGTGGACGGCACATGCTGTGGAGAATTATATAGATCGGAATCAAATACATAATAACAAAGCATTTAAAATATTAGAGAAAGAGCGAACTAAGATTGCATCCCCTGGTAATCAAATCAACTTAGATGTTTCACATCAATCTGAAAAGGGTTCACCATCCTTTCCAAAGAATATAAAACAAATCCAGTACAAAGTTAAAATATAAACATCCCTAGGGTCTCTACTACTGAGAAATGATACCCACTCACATTTTTATAAACAGCCAGTACAAAGTTATAATCCAGTACTAATTAAGCTCACCTGCATCGGTAAAATGCAACAATGACCAGGTGCAACAGGCTGCTGCTTTGGCAACATCAAATATGAGAAATTTGCAATTGCCACAACAAGATGTGCCGGCCTGCTTGGATTCTCAAAGCAAAAGAGGCAACGCTCTTGCTGAGTGGAGAAACGATTTGCAAAACTGTTCTTCTGGGAGACCTTATGATCATCACTTCCCCGTTTCTTCCTAGACTTTTTGCTTGGACCATCATCATCATAGTCATATTCATCATCTGCCTGGCCAGATATACTGTATTTTTTGTTCTGCATTATCCTTTGAGCTAGATGCATATCAGCATCATCCTCCCTTTTCTTCTGCCTAAGGGGCACATCCTGCTTAACATATCTAGATAAAAGGTTATCTGATTAGTGATCAGAACAACAATTCCAACCAATAATTAAAATCATTAGTATATGTGAAAAATAAAAAAATCACTGAAACGGTAAAGTGCACAGGAAAAAACA